GCATACTTTCAAAGCAAATGCATTGCAATTTTTTTGACGCGAGTCGCGCGGGACGATTCCTCCCTTTAGTTGTCCACGGAGAAAACAGAGATTGCTTTTAAAGCAAGATTAATCGCTCGAAACGTTTTAGAAGCTTCGAAAAGCATCGTCCCGTGTTGTCGATACAATTCGATTAGCGGCTGAAAGATTAATCGCATGATAGTATAATCGGTTTTAATTCCAGCAAAAATATAGAAGATAGAGAATTGGAGGACAGAGAATTGTGTCCGTATCTCGGATATAATTGATCGAATGGTCAATAACATATTGAGACGTACAAAAATTCGCTGAATAAAATTACTCCGCCAGATTTCCACAAAAGTTTTACCCGCGAGACACGCGGGTTAGAGGTGTCGCGTGACAGCCGAGCGTCGTGTCGTTCCCTTTGGCGTTATTAAACGCTAGGTGCATAAATAAGGATATCGTAAATCATCGGGCAGAATTTTAGATAGGAGAAAAACGCTGGGTTTCGAGCTATCATTTGAATAAACTTTTGCGGAAGACTTTAGGTCCGAGTTTTATTTAACGGTTAGATCGAATCGGGGGTTTTTTTAATGGCCTTTTTATTCCAGCAAAGGGGAAGCCAATTTTTTTAATCGTTTCCTTTCTTCGATGCATGAAAACAACAAAGAATTTCCTTCGTTTCGAATAGCCCTCTGTTCTCCACGGGTATCTGTCGTGCATACGGTTCGGCCGTGACCTACAGGTTATTATATTTGCAGGCGAGCGTTTCGGTGGCCGCTTGAAATCGTCGTGAATTATTTGATCTGACCTGAGGCGCGTGGCTACACGTAACAATAACGATAAATTTTGCATATCGTCGAATGTAAAATACAACTATGTTTGAAGGTGTTGAATCGCGTAGATAAACCAACGGTTTGTCTGACTCGTGCGCGATAAATATATTTCACGAAACAGGTAGACGAGTTTCATTAAGGATTCATAATCTTTTTCTCTGCTGCTGGGCAAATCGCACGTTTCGAAGTATCTCGCGATCAATCTTTGCAAATGAACTTTGAAATTGATCGTTCGATCCACTTCACAAGTGTTGCTACTATCTCTCCTATTCTGTCTTGTAAAATAACTATCGAAAGACACTAATCAATCGCACAGTTCAATAAGCGTGCACATGGATTACTACTTTTGGGCCATACTTTCTTGTAAATACGTAAGGGGAGCTAATCTGTTGTTTCTTTTCTTCGCTGATCTATCGGGATAACATTTACAATATCGGTGTGCAAACGCGTTATAGAAACCGAAAGAACCAAAAAAAAAAAAAAAAAAAAAAAAACAAGAAGAGAGTTCATCGAAATTGAAATTTTAACGCAGTACCAGAAACGAGATTAGAGCTCTCTTTGTAACGCGTAAAACAGTCATTAAACCGATGCGGAGTCTATCTAAAAGTTCTATGCATAGATTATACGCGTTTCTTCGCAATGTGGGAAGGCAATTGGACAGGAAGCGGCCGTGAAACGTAAAAAAAAAAAAAAAAAAAAAA